AGAAAATAATTTTCGTGGCCTGGAATCCTCTTCTCTTTCCAGGTCACAGCTCATGCCCATTTCTTTTCCAATTATATATTTTGCACAATTCTCCCATCAATGATTAGAAATTTGTTAGTTTTTCAAAAGATTTCCAACATGCCTGATCGCTCAAATTCGAAGGCAGCAGGAAAATCAGCCGATGCTGCGGCCCACTAATGGTCCTTTTTCGAAAGAAAATTATTTCAGAATTCGACCTACTGTATGTATGGCCTGCTTTACTCTACTGCCGGCACAGTCACATTTCGGCACCCTGCACTACTTCTGTAATGGGAAGGTGAAGGATAAATCATGAAAATGTAAGTGGATAATACAAATCTGTGGGAGAACTGGATCAAACCTGTGGGAGAATGTCAAAGTGAAGTCTCCAATTGGGTCCACTGAGAGACCACAAAAAAAAAGGAAGAAAAGTGGTACTGACAACTCAATAGATAATTTTATTGCTACACGATAGATCACTGAAATGATACCATACACTCATATGCAGAAGGCAGCCATATTATAGCTTTAGCCAATGACCCAGAGGATAAAGCCCATGACATCATAACAAACCAGTGACATCACTGGTCCTATGACGCAGACATGGGCCCCATTCCCATGAACACTGCTTCAGTTACAAAATAGCTGCTGGGATAGTCGTCAGAGAACTGGTTCACCTCGTTGGACCTATGTATTCTGAATGGCTTTAACTTTATTGACATTGGATAAAACAAGCAGCGGTGGGGGATCCATAGTGGGCCAAGAGCAGAAATCCACTGAGGTGCCAGAGCCCCAACACTATGAAGACAATGAAATCAATTTTATAAATACATTTTGTGTTAAAAAACTAATATAATAAAACTAGGACTTTTTTTAACCTTTAGAACCATCTCTATATCAACATTATCTGAAAATAAAACCTCTTTCACATAAGACTTAAAAAGTAGGACGGAAAGGTTTATGGCACTAAAATCCTACTGCATATGTGGACAGCTTGCCTTCACCGGTGTCCCTTCTATTGAGTGGATTTGTTTACTTGTCCCGGCTTTGGGGAACCTGCAGTTCAGATTTGGGCTCCCCTATTAAGTGTCCAAATGAAGAATCAATTCCAGTAGTTGGATGTAAATTGTATAGCTCCAGATTAGACTTGCGTGTTTACTTTTTCACATTAAGAAAAGATTTTTAGATGGGAATCTAGAACATTAAATTAAAAATTAAAAAAAAATTTTTTCGCAGTGACCGTCCTGTCATTTTTTTTGAAAACAAATGTCACTAATAGGCCCAAATTTCCTTTCCTAAATACACACTCTCACCTTGCCAGATAATCTTGCCAAGTAAAAGGGACAGTGTCCCTGCATAGGGCCTCCCTATACTCTGCTGCTCCCTTCTCTGCAGTCCTCACAGAAAGGACTGGTGTTGGCGAGCCTGGAGGGGTGGTAATGTCACTCCGTCAGTCATGTGACAATGCTTGGGCATAGAGAGTGGCTGCTCAATCCCTGCTTTGTGACAACGGAGGAGCTCACCAGGCACTGGTAGTGGGAGTATAAGCTGTTGTGGGGGGGGGGGGGCACTTTGGCAGAGGCAATGTTGCTTTGCCCAAAAGCCCATACTCCAGCCTGGAAAGTGGACACTGTTGTCCATTTGCAGGGAAGCTACTCTGTCAAAAGAGTCCTGTAGTGCTTACAGCACTGGCGTCATGATGCCAGGCGCAGTAACAAGATATACTGGCAGCACAGAAACAGTTACAGGAAGAGGTAACAGTGTATTCAGGTGGGTTAATAAGGTACTTACTATACACTCACCGGCCACTTTATTAGGTACAACTATTCAATTGCTTGGTAACACAAATTGCTAATCAGCCAATCACATGTCAGCAACTAGACGTGGTGAAGACGACTTGCTAAAGTTCAAACTGAGCATCAGAATGGGGAAGAAAGGGGATTTAAGTGACTTTGAACGTGGCATGGTTGTTGGTGCCAAATGGGCTGGTCTAAGTATTTCAATCCACTATACTGCATCCGGAACGCACTGGAACTGCAAGCACTGATGTGAACTTTGACATGGACAACCATATAACCTACTTTCTGTGTGTTCGGATGCAGAAAAAAAAAAAACACACTGTAAGGGCCAGTTCACACTACATGCGTTTCAGTTGCAAGTTACAAAAACACACTATGCAGTCCCATAGGGGTATAGTAGCATAGTTTATTAACCTACCTTCCGGTCAAGGCTCCTGTTTGGTTCAGCCAACATAGTCCAAAACCACATTTAAAAAAAGCCTTCTTAAAATATTTTGTGGCCTTTGATGGCTCTGTTCTCATTGACCATAAGGAAGAAGCAGCTGTTGGGACCAGCGCCACAGGAGGTAGCTCCACCCCGTTCTGTCAGGTCGCGCATGCGCAGTGTGTGACGTCTCCTGTCACAGCCGATGAACTCACTATAGGCGACAAGACAGAATTGACACCTGGCATGTACAGCCCGAAAGAACAGGAACAGATTTTAGGAAGGATTCATCTAAAATGTGGTATTGGCCTACATTCTTTGGTAAGAAAATCTTTATCAAAAATGCTTTTTGGTAAAGATGATCTACCCCCTTAAAGCCCTTTTCAGGCTTTATATATCTCTCTGTGTAATGCCTAAATAAGGGATCTAGGGCATCCCAAAAACTAGCATCTATAATAAGTTAGCCAATAAAGAATCTCTTAATCAATGGCTAACAAGATGCAATACTCAGCTACTGCGAAGGCCTCATGTACATGAACTCATCTAGTCGTTAAATTCTCCTGGAAACAGAAAAACACTAAACGCAGCAAAAATGTGTGTGGACGCGGTGCCACGTTTAGCACTTGGATGTTCATTTATTTGATTGGCCAGAGTATTTTTTATTGACATGGGTAAATGCCCAAGCGCGGTTAGGGTGTAGTCGTGTTTAGCGTTTTGTTTGGCCAAAACATTCCTCTTCTGAATGCGATTATTCTGCGTTCAGAAGAACGTTAACTGCCCCTAAACTCTGCTGCTCCTAAATTCTGGTAAAAGCCTATGTGTGCATGGACACAGGGGCGGACTGACAACTCGTGGGGCCCCCGGGGCAATAGGGGATCATGGGGCTCCCTGTGTCCTTGCTCAAACTCAAAAAAGCCTATGAAAAGAGGCACCAGGGGGCATCTCATGGGGCCCCCTACTGACTCCAGGCCCTCGGGCAGTGCCCGAGTTTCCAAATAGTCAGTCCGCCCCTGCATGGACACATAGGCTTTGACTGAGTTGAGGTCAGGGGCTTTGGCAGAAAAAAAAATGCCAAAAGCTCCTAAACTCACATTTACGAGCAAAAAATGTGCATGAGGCCTAAGAGTAACGAAGTTTCTTTGGTTTTTGTTTTCCATTTGTAGCTTGGAGTTCAGCTTTCCATGAACTAATGCCAACAAACAAAAGCAACGAACATGTGAAAATGCAAAGGGACTACTAGGTCCTTCATGTTCCCACTGCATTATGGGAGAATAAAAGGGATCACATGATTAGCTGATACAGGAGCGAAGAATTGTTCCTCATTCAGACACTAATAGAGACAAGCTGTACACAGCCGGTACTTCTCCAAGTGATGCAGAACTAGGAGTCCCGGCCTGCCTTGCCAGCCTGCAGCAAGTCATGTCAGCACCAAAGGATGCTGGGAATTCAGAAGCATGGCCAACCCTGCTCAAAATGGTATATTTCCCAGCGTGCTCTGCTGCTCATATTTTCTAGTGTAGCATAAAATATTTTTCAGTACAATACATATTCCAGCATCGATGCTCCCCTCAGTCATATGTAAAGACGTAACCAGCGTCCATTGTGTCAGCAGTATGTGCAATAAAATGAACAGTATAACAGCAGCAACACAGGTTTGTAGCGTTTGACGATGAAGGCCGAGCCATCATTCTTCGGTCCCCCTCCAGGTCTGGCGAATGCAGTCCTCCATATTGAGAGCCTGGTAAAACATTCGTTCAGCTGCAATAAAAAGGTCTATTCCTCCATTTCTGCAATTAGTAAAAAATAGACTACTTCATCGATGATCATGAAAAACAAACCGTGTCCTCTCAGAAAGTCACTTCCCACTGCCTCAGCCGTGCAGAAATCCCTGAATTGCATTTGCGTCGGGTGAAAATTTCTCCAGCATTGTCCTTGAAGAAAAATAAAATGTAAAATGCGGTGCAATGTGGTGCTGTAGACAGATCTGCGCCATATACTCCACAATGTGCGTCCGTGTGAGACCTCCTGGGATCGGTAGGAGGACCTTCCCACCGCAGTTCGGGTCTGTGCAGGTGAATGGCTGTTCACGTAAGCTGGGCGGAGTCAGATGACATCCTAGAGATAAGTAGACCAAAAAATAAAAATTAATTAAGAAACACGGTCTATTGACATCATTGAGAAACCATTAAACTGTATCCAAAGCTTACAAAAAGTTCTGCCTTAAAAAAGTGTTACTAAACCCACAACAGTGAAATCAGTCTGTATATGCAGTAAAGCATGCTTGTTATACGCACTGTGGAACCTAAGGGGTTAATCCTCTGCATTGTGTAAAAAGGCCGTTTGATCCTGACTTCCCTTACTCTGCCCTTCTTCCAGCGTCCCCCTTTTATCTCCTGATAAGACATATCGTGTGGAGACACTAGCAATATACACCAAACTGAGCATGTGCAGAGTAATTTTTTCTTGGGAGGGTGCATGTGATCAGTACAGAGCCAATCAGCACTGTCCAGACAGAGGGTCAGGGGTTCTGCATTATCCTAGAGTATTATTATACAGGATTTATATAGCACCAACAGTTTGTTCAGCACTTTACAATATAAAGGGAGACAATACAGCAACAATACAGTTCAATACAAGAGGGAAAGGAGGGCCTGATCCTGGGAGCTTACAATCTAGGAGAATGAAAACTCCTACAAACTCTGCTTGACACTGACAAAAGTCACAAGACTGCTCTAACTGCTGATAAGAAAAGGAAATTTGCAGTTATATTTACAGGGTCCAGGGAGATCAGATATAGTGAATGCAGGATCCTGGGAGACCGGATATAGTGAATGCAGGGTCCTGGGAGACCAAATATAGCGAATGCGGGGTCCTGGGAGACCAGATATAGCGTATGCCGGGTCCTGGGAGACCAGATATAGTGAATGCCGGGTCCTGGGAGACCTGGGAGACCGGGCATCGGGTCACCAGGCATGACAGCGGGCACTGGGTCATCAGGTACCAGATCGTCTGGATCGACAGCGGGCACCGGGTCATCAGGCATTGGATCGTCTGGCTCGACAGCGGGCATCGGGTCACCAGGCATGACAGCAGGCACTGGGTCATCAGGCGTGATAGGATCATCAGGCTGGATCAGTTCATCAGGCTGGGTAGAGACATCAGGCTGGGTAGAGACATCAGGCTGAAGTGCGGGTGCCGAGGCACCAGGCTAAACCACGGAAGGCAGGTTCTCAGACGGCAGGCTCACCGGTTTGGATACTGGCAGGATGGTACTGGTTGGGAAGAATTTTCGCTTTTTTCTGGTTTTAGTTACCGGAGCACTGTAAGTAAGCGCAGGTTTGTAAACGGATGGAGCAGCTGAAGACAGAGAAGAGCTGGAGGATGGAACAGAGGGAGGGAGCAGTTGCTACAGAGGACTTCTTTACATGGTTAAAGGCAGGATAGGTGCAGGGAGTGGGAGCAGGGGACTGATATGTGGTAGTTAGCAGAGTAGACTGGGCCGTCACTGGGGGTGCTGTCGGGGATGTAGGAAGAGTGCCTTGAGCGGAGGAATGACGTTGTAAGCTGACTGAGGCTGGGTGCAACAAGTCTGACCATGTCTGCAGTATGGGTTGAACAAAGCTGAGCTTACACAAAACCTGTCTGGTCAAAGACTGCACTGCGTTTATACAATCCCTTAATACCTGTGGTGAGCATGCAGCATAATGCTCCAAGAAGCAATCCACATCATCCTCTAATAACCATACCAGGGACTCTACCTGGTCTGCACTAAATGGTGGCAAAAAGTCATTCCTGCTTTCAGGGGTACCAGATGAAGTCAACTCTACACAAACCTGAATCAAAGGTTGCACCTCAGAGAACTCTGTGCCCTGATCTACTAGAACATGAGCGATCCGTATACATTCTAGCAGTTGATCCCGGGTATACTCCCTCAGAGTCTGATAAGCATATTCTCTGTCATCAAAAACCAGCAGCGACAAATACACAACCTCCTCAAGATCCATCCTTCCCAGCAACAAGCCAAGATGGCTTCCCTGTGCAGCCACTTCTGGTCAGGATTGGCCTTGGTGTAATGTCAGGGCTCCAGGGTATGACCAGAGGTATGTGAACTGACGCAGGGAAACGCAGGCTTCAGATATGTTATAAACAATATAATTTATTAATACTAACAATACATAAACGCAGTGCAATACTAAAACATAACAGTGCAAACAAACCAAACCAAACCACCCACAGATAACAATACATACAATGCAAGCGTCGTCAGGCAGGCCGGGTCAATAACAATCGGGCAGGTAGGAACAGGAGGAGCAGGCAGAGAGTAGTCAGGTCACGAGCCGGGTACAGCAACTAATGGCCGCTTTTGACCTAAAGGGACGCTTTTTGGACGCCATGGACGTTTCTCAGTTTCAAGGCAGAAAGAACGGTAAAAATGCAGGCAGGGCACAGGACAAAGCACTCGGGACAAAATGTATGTGAAATGGTTTGATACAGGAATGTTATACTATGTGATTGTAGTGTATTTAGTGAATGTCACTTTTTCACATTTTTAAATTTCCCGCCAGTTCCGTCCATGTACGTCCTGACGTCGCAGGGGACGGAACCCAGAAGACAGATGCTGGCATCGCCTGGAGGACATTGCTGGGGACACTGCAGGGGGGACATCGCGGGAGCTCAGGACAAGGTAAGTGAAGACGAGATCCCAGAGCAAGGCTGCAGTGTATTCCCGAGTGTAGCTCGGGGTTACCGCTTGTGGTGCTGAAACTTTACCCCGAGCTACACTCGGGAATACCTCCAGGGTGATTAAAGTAAGCCCAGAATACCGCCAGGGAGGTTAAAGGAAGCCCGGAATACCGCCAGGGAGGTTAAAGGAAGCCTGTACTAAGAGTGTGAAAGTCTCGGACCTCTTCTAAAAATGTTAGATATCTGGCAGTCATGGTGGCCCACTTCTGCAATGAGTCATAGGTTGAGAAATTACGCAGATCGTGAATTCTGATGTCACTCTGGGCCAAGCTGCATGTTGTTCTTGGCAAGTGCCTCAGAAAGCACTAAAACGTATTGTATCAGCATGACAGCCAAGCAGCTAGCATTTTCAGAAACCAAAAATTGGCAGGCTCCATGTTTCTCTCCATACAGGTTTACTTTAAAGGAAAATTCCCAGCTAAATCTAAGTAATCTTAAAAATGTTCACTCCCCCTTCCTAACACATACTGACTAACCTGTAAGAAAGATGTAAATACTTACCTATTTCCAGCCCGCTCAGCTCTGGTCACGTGATCCCACTCCCCTGTGTAAGTCAGCAGCAGCTGCAGGGGAGAGGACGGATGGGCCATAGGAGCTCCAGGCTGTAGTCAAGCACTTTCTCCTTTCCTCTGCAGCCGCTGCTGGCTGACACAGGATCACGTGAACAAACTGGAGCAAGCTGAAAACCCAATTTGTGTGCTGGGGGACGGCTTTAATTCCTTTGGTATCATTTGTATGCAGAATCATGCAGAAGTCTACTTTGAAGAGTTATACAGCCTTTCTGCAACTCATAAAAAACAACTGGAAATCATTTCAGCTGAAAACTGAAATCAAAATTGGTTTGCTAAATAAATCAGCATTCCATTTCTGCTCATCTGTTTGGACCTTTCCCATCAGAGTAGAAAGAAAAATCAATGACCTGGTCTAGTTGCAGCAGAGATGGATGATGTGCAGGGATACATGAAGTTGCAGCAGCCGAAGGACGTGTGGTGTGCCCTTGAGACTGATGCACGTGCAGCACTGTGATTGGGACTCTGGTCTCATCTCCCCTTCGATGTCCTTTTGAAATATTTCCGCAGAGCACAGAGGAAAAGCTGAATTTACAATGTACATTTTCCGCTGAGCTGGGCCATGATCAGCTGACATTGTGTGGACAATGAGCTCTCCTGTGACACTGCCTCCTACAAATGCTCAGATTCACAAAACCGGTTTCAGAATGGAAGGCCGGAGCCTGTGCAGCCCATCCAATGACATACAGCCTTGGATAGCAGGCACATCACATTAAAGATTTTGAGCCTTGTTACACTTTGCTGGCAGCCATGATCAGCTTACTGTAAATCATTTTATTAGTGAGAGTCTGACCAATTAAAAATGCTGTTGATGGTGCGGGTGTTTGTGCTTGTTTGTTTGTGACTGTTGTACGTGTTTGGCTGCTTTTGTATGTTCTGACTGCTTACCTGTTATGTTATTATGTTGTCTCGTGATTATCCTTTGTCATATGTATTGGGTTTTTTGCCTACGATAGTTTGATGTTTGGTTTTTGTTTTGGATCCCCTTTTCTGGATTATTAAGTGTTCTTGCATGGCAGACCACTTACTGTTATCTCACATATATATTCTTATTATTAAAGCCAAATTTACCACCCTAACTCCTCCCACAGTTTTTACACTACATAGACAGTAATATACTGAAACGTGCGGATTGTTCCCGATTGGTGTGCTATTACTTTGTGGAATGTTTCGCCGAATGGTTCACGAAATATCACGAGTTTTTTTGGTGAAATTGGTCCCATAGGAATGAATGGTGGAATGTTCAAAACTAGAGTGGGAGCTGACAAAAGCTAGAGTGTGAGCTGAAAAATCAGGACATGATTTCTAAACTGCCATCACTCTGTCATTTTCAAGCCCACCTACACAAATTGTATATCAAAACGTTCAGCTATCCCTGCTGTCACTAAAAATGTCCATAAGCCATAGTCCTGATAGTTTTCACAATATGACCATTTGTTTGCACCTCACGCCGCCCATTGACATTCATTGAAACTGTACTCTAGCCACCTCAAAATTTGAAGGGCAATTTCTAAACTGCGACTGTGTCTTTATTTTTAATATTTCAGAGATATACTATGCATCAAAATGTAGGTCTGGGTCTTGTGATTCTCACAATATAAAGAACTTTGCTGTAGGATTTATAGTTTTTTAAAACTACGACCATTTGAAGACGCCAGTGAAGTGAGCAATTTGGAGAAGTTTGTTTTTAACCGCTCCTCTCTGCCCTATTTGAAATCTAATTTTGAATTGGTGACAGTTTGGCCGGCTTCTGGTTAAAGGTTTGGAAATACGTTTTCTACAGTAGAGAGTATTTGAGGTGATAATGCTGCTAATGTTTTTATAAATGTATGTTTTTATGTAACCGTCAAGCACTTTGGGCAACAGCATTGCAATTAAATGTGCGATATAAATAATTAAAAGTTGAAATGCATTTCTCACTCTATCAAGCTTGCCATGTGCACTTTTTAAATTTGATCAATCAATTGGTTAGTGTAATGTTTACTATCTTTACTCACTCCAAACACTCCACACAGTTAATAGAGATAATATGCGAGCGCTATCCGGGGATCTATAAAGAAAGCAGCTAGAACACCAGAAAAGGTAACCAAGAAAGAACCTTCCAGTAAAGTACACACACACACACACATATATATATATATATATATATATATATATATATATATATATATATATATATATATAAGGTGCAGTGCTAAAATAACATAAATATCATGTTATAAAATCAAGTGCAAAAATCAGATCACACTGAGGTGAGATTGAGTGAAATGAAAAGTCCCAAAATAAAGGCCCAACGTGGGAATCCGATAGATCCTAATGGGTGCGTGGGGGGTAAAGTTCCAGTGTACCACACGGTGAATCTGGGGTAAAAATTGCGCACTCACCAGAAGTGCGTCAAAAATACGCATGTAAGATTTATCCTGTAGTATCAGGTAGCGGTCATTGCCAAGATAAGGACAGGGTCTTAAAGCCCAGGACCCTTTGATAATGTGCATTGCACGAAACACGTCAGAGGGGCTACAGTATCTGGACGTCTGACCACCGCTGGTGGCCATCCTGAGTAGTATCTGGTCAGTGTTTACTTTCATTTTACCTCTACAATTCATGTTGTGTTATGATATGTGGCATTGATGTGCACTGGTAGGCACTGATATGTGGCATTGATGTGGCACTGATGGGCACTGACACAAGGCACGGATGGACACTGACAGGTGGCGCTGCTGGGGCTACACTGATGATCAGTGTACATTGTCCCCTCCGGCAGAAAGCCAATTACTGGCTCTCCTGTCCTCTGTCAGCGTGACAGCTCGAGAGGAGAGAAATGCCGATAACCAGCATTTCCCTGTTTACATGTGATCAGCTGTGATTGGACACAGCTAATCACATGACCAAGTCGACATCTTCGGCTCTTTCCGTGATCGGTGATCCGCTGTGTCCGAGGGACACAGCACACCACCGATTGCCGTGTGCTCCCTGAGCCACGCATGCGTGGTGAGAATGGGAGGACGTCATATGACGTCCTCCCAGAACAAGAGAACCACCTTGCATCTGTCATATTACTATATGGCGGGCGGGAGGTGGTTAAAGAATATGTAAACCCAACATTTCATATCTTAATATGTGCCTGCTGTACCATGTACTTGTATCAAAAAAATATCCTGCTCTCTTTGTGTGAAATCCCTCGTGTTCCCGCCAGTCCCTCTGCTTTACTATTAAGCCCTGACCGCACTAGGCAGAAGAGCACAGCGTGGTCAGTTCTCTAACTGTGCTGGGGACTGAGCCTGCTCTTTTCCAATGATCAGACTCGTCCTGACACACCCTTCCTGCACAGCCATTCACTAGGGAGACCAGGGTACTGGTTTTTCTCTATCCCCACCTCTCTATGCAGCTGACAAAGGGTATGTGATCAATTATATGTAAAAAAAAAAAAAAATTTTATGTATACACAAATGTTTTACCTTTCATTTCATATACCTTTTTACATATATTTTAACCCCTTGACGCCGACCTCACACAAATATGCAGTCTTACTGCACTGGGCTTTATGCCGTAGAGCCATATATTTGCGTATCTCCCTTTGTGCTGAGAGCACAGAGACTGGGGTCTCACCATGAGTCCTGGGTCCCGTACTAACGATTAGGACCCAGAGCTCCTGATTCTGGGTCACCTGATTGCTGTGATAGCTTCTGATTGGCTATCACGGTGATCAGCCATGTTTTCTCTCTCTGAATGGGAGGAGAAAGATGCAATGTATTTTTCTCTCTCCTTTCAGAAAAAAAAAAAAAAAAACAACGTGTAAAATAAATAAATAACTCTTAACCACTTCCAGACCGCCCTATAGCAGATATTCTGCTACAGGGTGGCACGAGTGCGCAAAATAACATATATAGGGCACACGTGAGCGCCCTACCCACGCCCCCATTCGCGGTCGCCAATCACTGGGTCCCGGTTTGTGATTACTCGCCGGCGCCCAGTGATCACCGAGGATCTCAGATGGGGAGGAGAGCGGTTTTGCTTACCAACAGTTTTCCCTGTCAGCTCAGGCATACTGCTTTGGATGGCTGTGCACAGCACAGCCATCCAAAGCAGTGTTTACAGTGAAGCACACAGATACCGCCCCCCAGTAAAATACTCCCCTACACACAGATAACTCTTTGATCGACCCTCATTGTTAACCCCTTCCTGCCCAATGCCAATAGTACAGTGTCAGTGCTTTTTCTTTACCATTGATCACTGTATTGGTGTAACTGGGGATGTCAATGACACCAAGTTAGTTCCCCGCAGTGTCAGAATGTCCACCGCAGTCCTGATACAAGTCCCTGATCGCCGCCATTACTAGTAAAATTAAAAATGTTTTAAAAAAATCCCAGTATATATACACACCACCATTTGTTTACGCTATAAAGCTTTCACGTAAACCAATTAATTTACACGTATTGGGATTTTTTTTAGCAAAGACATGTAGCAGAATACATTTTGGCCTAAATTTATGACAAAATTAGATTTTTTAAATTTTTTTACTGGACATGTTTAATAGCAAAAAGTCAAAAATATTGTTTTTTTTTCTTCTAAAAATTGTTGGTCTTTTTTCTTTTTATAGCGCAAAAAATAAAAACCACACAAGCGATCAAATACTACCGAAAGAAAGCTCTATTTGTATGGAAAAAGGATGTAAATTTTATTTGGGTGCTGCTTTGCATGACCGCGCAATTGTTAAAGTAACGCAGCGCCATGACGCAAAAAGTGGCCTGGTCAGGAAGGGGGGGTAAATCCTTAGAAGGTCAAGTGGTTAAAAAATAAAATAAAAATACAAAAACAGAAAAAATCTAGATCAATGTTTGGTCAAGGTCAAGATCAGGGTTAAAAAAGTCAAAGTCAGTATATTTTAGGCAGGATTTTTTATAAAATTAGTTTTAGTGTCAGTGTTTTTTTAGGTAGGACAAAAAAAAAAAAAAAAAAAAAAAAAAAAAAAGTGCACTATTGTATTTGGGCTGTACTACGGGTACAGACAACAAATAATAGACACGTATGTGGCATTGCTGCGATCGCAAGGAGAAGAATTTATTTTCGGGTGTTCTTTGGTGGTAGGTTATGGTAATAAGAAATATACAGCTAAATTTAAAAAAAATTTTTTTTACTATTTTGAGCCAGTTTACCTATAAAAAAAAAAAAAAAAATCAGGAGATATCCATGACCGTTCACCACCAAATGAAAGGCCAATTTATCCTGAAAAAACAAGGTGACATTCACCTAGATGTACAAAGCAGTTGTGATGATATGTACGGATTTACTAACACATGTCAAAGTTGCAAAACTGTGCTTAGGCATTAGGATTTGTTGTTAAGTGTGTGTTTGAATGCCATGTTTGCCTCAGTATTTGTTGGGGCTGGTCCCAAAGAAGAAAAAAACAAAAAGCACAACATTCACTCATGGTATCGCACACTAAGAGTTAAAAATGCTAAAAGCATTGCCAATTACAAGGTTTAGCTTCCATTTCAGTGACCCTCTGGAGAGAGAAGGGACTGCTGACAAGAATCCCAGGAGAGCTCATTAGTGAGGGCAGAAGGGATGGAATGTACAGCTGTAAATGGAAAGGACCGAAAGTCCTTTTAGATATTAGTATTTGGAAGCACAGAAAGCTACTCACTTATAGGAATGGAATCAGACTGATAAAGTAGATGTAAACACTAACTGACACGTAATTGATCAATAATGTGCATAATACTGCAATTTTTTGTTTTTAAATACTTTTTTTCACTCTCTGTTTCACCTAAGTGCTGCTGATCTCCTGTAGCCTCTTTGGAGCTTTACGTTCATATTCACTCCAGTGATGACTGCCTCAGAACGAGTTTCCTGATGGTGACAACTGTAGGCCTCAATTGTGTTATGAGTAATGTGTGTTAAAACAGCCACTTTGTGATCCTGCAACAACTCAGGAGCACAACGGAGAGACAGAGAATTAAGGTAAAAAACCTTCTGCAAGCAGCTCATCTGTGCAAAAGACCAAAATGTACACTCTGGGATGCGCGAGAAGGTCCAGGCAGCTGGCAAGGCACCCCTGGAGGCTCTAGACAGACCTTCACATGGGTGTATGGATCAGTATGTTGGTGTGAATTAGGCCTAAAAGGAGAATGTGCTATTCTCCGAGTTTCAAGCAAGCCTTAATTATTACAGCCATTACCTCCAACTTGCTGGTATCTTCTAGACTGTGGTTTTTGGCCCTCACAGTCTCCGACAGCAGCACTCTTTGCTCAGAAGGCTCACTACTAGGGACATCTTGGCCATCTCCACCACCAACTTCAGAAATAGCTTTCACCTCTGGAGGGTTTGTCCTCTGCTCTGGAATACGAGCCACACGGAACCTGGAAATCATATAGAGAGTTCTCAAACGTCTGGAATTACATGACATTCTGTAGCCATCAAAGACTCAAGTGCACAATTGCCATGAGCAGCTACAACTTCTTGCTGTAAACTTTTTTACAATAGGTAAAAAAGCAACAAAGTGATAATATGGAGAGACTTTCTTATTTTGCCTGTTCAAAATCTCTTTGAAGCTACCTATGAATTACTTCTATTCTTCTGCTGTGCTTCCTCTGCAGACCAAATCCGGGAAGTTCTGTGACTGTTATTTATGGTGGCTTCAAAGCTCCGGCAGGGGAGCAAACAAAAAAAAAAAAAAAAAAAAAAAAGGACTATGCATGGGTGTGAGGTGAGCTTTAAAGAGATACTGTTACCCAGAACAGTCTTTTTAAAGTGTTATTAAACCCAGGACCCTGCATTCAGTATATCTGGTCTCCCTGGACCCCGCATTCAGTATATCTGGTCTCCCTGGACCCCGCATTCAGTATATCTGGTCTCCCCGGACCCCGCATTCACTATATCTGGTCTCCCCGGACCCCGCATTCACTATATCTGGTCTCCCAGGACCCTGCATTCGCTATATCTGGTCTCCCAGGACCCTGCATTCGCTATATCTGGTCTCCCCGGACCCTGCATTCACTATATCTGGTCTCCCCGGACCCTGCATTCGCTATATCTGGTCTCCCCGGACCCTGCATTCCCTATATCTGATCTCCCCGGACCCTGCATTCACTATATTTGGTCTCCCCAGACCCTGCATTCGCTATATCTGGTCTCCCCCCGGACCCTGCATTCGCTATATCTGGTCTCCCCGGACCCTGCATTCACTATATCTGGTCTCCCTGGACCCCGCATTCAGTATATCTGGTCTCCCCGGACCCCGCATTCACTATATCTGGTCTCCCCGGACCCCGCATTCACTATATCTGGTCTCCCAGGACCCCGCATTCGCTATATCTGGCCTCCCCGGACCCGCATTCGCTATATCTGATCTCCCCCGGACCCTTCATTCGTTATATCTGGTCTCCCCAGACCCTGCATTCGCTATATCTGGTCTCCCCGACCCTGCATTCACTATATCTGGTCTCCCCGGACCCCGCATTCACTATATCTGGTCTCCCAGGACCCCGCATTCACTACAGTTGTGGCCAAAATTATTCAACCCCCAATGCTGTAAAGGGGTTTAGGGACTATAGTGTACATTTGGAATTGTATTCAGAATCAAATCCTACAAGGACGTTGTAACTACCCAAATGCAACTAAAATGACATCAATTGTTTATGTAATACAGTATAAATGGTTCTTATGTGGTTTCTTCATTGCCACAATTATTCAACCCCTTAAAGACTACCACTCTGAAGAACAGAGGTTCATACAGGTGCTTTCCATCAGGTATTGAAAACACCTGTGGATGTCACCGAGCAGCAATCAAGCATAATAAGCACCAATTAGGCAGCTTTAAAATGACTGTGATACTCAGCTCCTTCTAGACATTTACTGGTGTGGTTACAAACATGGTGAAGGCAAGAGAATGGTCCAGGAAGACAAGAGAAGAGGTGATTTCTCTTCACAGGAAGGGCAATGGCTATAAGAAGATTGCAAAGATGTTAAACATACCAAGAGACACCTTAGGAAGCATCATTCGCAAATTCAAGGCAAAGGGCACTGTTGAAACGCTACCTGGTCGTGGCAGAAAGAAGATGCTGACTTCGACTGCTGTGCGCTACCTGAAGCGTAGAGTGGAGAGAAGTCCCCGTGTGACTGCTGAGGAACTGAGAAAAGATTTGTCAGATGTGGGTACAGAAGTTTCAGCCCAGACAATAAGACGCACACTGCGTAATGAAGGCCTCCGTGCCAGAACTCCCAGGCGTACCCCCTTGCTGTCTCCAAAGAATAAGAAGAGTCGACTGCAGTATGCCAAAAGCCATGTGGACAAACCACAAAAGTTGTGGGATAGTGTTCTGTGGACTGATGAAACAAAATTAGAACTGTTTGGGCCCATGGATCAACGCTATGTTTGGAGGAGGAAGAACAAGGCCTATGATGAAAAGAACACCTTGCCTACTGTGAAGCATGGTGGAGGGTCAATCATGCTTTGGGGCTGTTTTGCTTCTGCAGGTACAGGGAAGCTTCAGCGTGTGCAAGGTACCATGAATTCTCTTCAGTACCAGGAGATATTGGATGGAAACGTGATGCAGTCCGTCACACACCTGAGGCTTGGGAGACGTTGGACCTTTCAACAGGACAATGATCCCAAGCATACCTCCAAGTCCACTAGAGCATGGTGCAGAGGAAAGGCTGGAACATTTTGGAGTGGCCATCGCAGTCACCAGACTTAAATCCGATTGAGAACCTCTGGTGGGACTTAAAGAAAGCAGTTGCAGTGCGCAAGCCTAAGAATGTGACTGAACTGGAGGCCTTTGCCCATGAAGAATGGGCGAAGATACCCGTAGATCGCTGCAAGACACTTGTGTCAAGCTATGCTTCACGTTTAAAAGCTGTTATAACTGTAAAAGGATGCTGTACTAAGTACTAAGATTGAATGTCACTTGGGGGTTGAATAAAACTGATAATGCTGTGAGCACAGAAAAGACATTTGTGGTTATTTCATTATAACTGTTATGTTATATTTGTCTGACCTACAAGTGCCTCTTTAATGTAAATGTAAGCAAGATGACTGAATGATCAAAAGCAATGTCAAACTGGCCAAAACACTCAATTTCAGTGGGGGTTGAATAATTTTGGCCACAACTGTATATCTGGTCTCCCAGGACCCTGCATTAGCTATATCTGATCTCCCCGGACCCTGCATTAGCTATATCTGATCTCCCCGGACCCTGCATTCGCTATATCTGGTCTCCCCGGACCCTGCATTCGCTATATCTGGTCTCCCCGGACCCTGCATTCGCTATATCTGGTCTCCCAGGACCCCGCATTCGCTATATCTGGTCTCCCAGGACCCCGCATTCACTATATCTGGTCTCCCAGGACCCCGCATTCACTATATCTGGTCTCCCAGGACCCATGCATTCACTATATCTGGTCTCCCAGGACCCTGCATTCACTATATCTGGTCTCCCAGGACCCTGCATTCACTATATCTGGTCTCCCAGGACCCCGCATTCACTATATCTGGTCTCCCAGGACCCCGCATTCACTATATCTGGTCTCCCAGGACCCCGCATTCACTATATCTGGTCTTCCAGGACCCCGCATTCACTATATCTGGTCTCCCAGGACCCCACATTCACTATATCTGGTCTCCCACCCCACATTCACTATATCTGGTCTCCCCGGACCCTGCATTCACTATATCTGGTCTCCCTGGACCCCACATTCACTATATCTGGTTTCCCAGGACCCTGCATTCACTATATCGGGTCTCCCACAGTACAAACAACATGGAAATGCAATTATTATTATTATTATACAGGATTTATATAGTGACAACAGTTTGCGCAGCGCTTTACAAAAAGAAGGTAGATATTACAGTTACAATACAATTTGGTACATGAGGAAACAGAGGGTCCTGCTCCTTACAGCTTACAATCTAGGAATTATTTTAGTAAATATAAACTGCTAAATACCTTCTCTCATCAGCAGTATATAGCAGTCTTGTGACTTCTATCAGTGTCCAGCGGAGCACTGGTTAAAGCTTGTAGGAGGAGATTTAATTCTCCCGATTGTTCTACAAGGCTTAATGGCCCCTGACCCTCTGCCTGGACAGTGCTGATTGGCCCTGTGTTGATCACATGCCCTCTCCCAAGAAAAATAGTGCAGCTTGCCCTCAAGGCTTTGTTCTATCAGCAGATGGACTGGGGACTGTGGAAGAAGGGGATGATCAGAGAATTCAGGATCAAACAGTCTTTCTAGACAATACAGAGGATTAACCCCTTAGATTCCACAGGGAGTATAACAAGCATGCTTTACTGAATATACAGACTGATTTTCCTGTTGTGGGTTTAGGAACACTAAGTTAGTTTGATGCACAAGAACCCTCAGTTAATGCCTGAGGCAGGTCTTCACTAGACATTTTATGTTTCAGTTTTTGATAGATGCTGGAAAAGTAAAGCACATTTTCCTGGTTGATCTGCGACGATTGCACTCAGTCCTCAGTTTCTTTTTTGCGGGCTCATGACGCACAGAATTTTTGAAAAACCGAATGGTATCAGCCCTGCCCAGATGTCTTTTGCTAAACTACTGAATCCTTTCCATCGCATTCCAAAAAACATAGGGACTAATGTTTCTGTTGAACAACAAAATACTTTTAATATTTAATAGACCACAATTCTCCAAGTCCTGCTCTCCCGGTTTGAATGCTTTCTTCTTTTTTTCCTCCCAAAAGTGATATTTTAGTTGTGGGGGCTGGTGGGCTAAGACAGGGCTTAGCTTCTTATATCTTGGATATTTCCTGCCATAATACCTGGCTTTATTCCTGGGAGCCTCACCTTTGTGTGGTTCAGCTCATCCCGCTACACTCCCCATAAGAAATACAAATCCAGCAGGGATAGTGGGAACCACTAATAATGACCATAGTAGGTGTGGAGGTCCAGGAACTCTGCAGAAAGATCTCACCATAAAGCTAAGAAATTGTCAGGTAGTCCGTTTCTACTAGACGGACCCTTTAATATTGTATTTTGTAGAACAGAACAGCAGTAATGTCAATACCCCAAGGTGGAAACAGCCAAAGGCTACAGTAAGCAGATCTCAGCACTGGAGTCCCAGATACAAGAATCCAAGGCATGACTTGCCAAGGCCACCAGACTACACCTTGGGATTGGACTGACCTTGTTAAGCTTAGGGCCTAAAAGACACTGACCTGCCCACAGACAGAATGGTGATTTCCCCAGATCTGGAGGTCTTGAACCCATTTCTGCTGGATTTTATGTTGTTGGCAGACTGCGATGATGTAAGTACATTAGGCCATTTCTTTTGGCTGCAGCGAGTACAGCACATGCCGGAGCGGGACGACGGACCCTGGACCGTGTGCAGGTGGTGTTGGTGCTTGCAAAGATTTGGCATCTGAGGGAGGAGGTGCATCCTGCTGAATACAACAAAAAAGGAAACTGAAGAAACATTCGCATGCACACCACATTTCATGGGGATTATAAAGTTCTATTATAAATAAATGAGGGTGGTTACCACAGTCAACAGTGGCATTTATGTTCCATAATGTTTCATAAAGCCCCCCCACTGCATATGGACAGCAGAGGACTAATGGACTGATGTAGAAAACAGTGACTCCTGTTAAGAGTGTGCTTACTATGTTCAACATTTAGTAGGTGCATAGTAAGAAATACAGTATCTTGAAAAAGTATTCATACCCCTTGAAATTTTCCAAGTTTTGTCATGTTACAAGCAAAAATGTAAATGTATTTTATTGGGATAGACCAATACAAAGTGGCACATAATTGTGAAGTAGAAGGAAAATGATAAATTGTTATCAGATATTTATTTGTAAAAAAATTGAAAAGAATGGCGTGCATTTGTGTTCAGCCCCTTTACTCTGATACCCCTAACTAAAATCTAGTGGAACCAATTGCCTTCGGAAGTCACCTAATTAGTAAATAGAGTCCACCTGTGTGTAATTTTAATCTCAGTATAAATACAGCTGTTTTGTGAAGGTTTGTTAGAGAACATTAGTGAACAAACAGCATCATGAAGGCCAAGGAACACACCAGACAGGTGAGGGATAACGTTGTGGAGAAGTTCAAAGCTTGGAAATTTTTTTTCAAAACCTAAACCTTCTTTAAACATCTCACGGAGCGGAGCACTGTTCAGTCCATCATCTGAAAATGGAAAGTGTATGGCACAACTGCAAACCTACCAAGACATGGCCGTCCACCTAAACTGACAGGCCGAGCAAGGAGAGCATTCATCAGAGAAGCAGCCAAGAGGCCCATGGGAACTCTGGAGGAGCTGCAGAGATCCACAGCTCAGGTGGGAGAATCTGTCCACAGGACAACTATTAGTCGTGCACTCCATAAATCTGGCCTTTAGGGAAGCGCGGCAAGAAGAAAGCCATTGTTGAAAGAAAGCCATAAGAAGTTTCATTTTGCAGTTTGCGTGAAGCCAGGTGGGGGACACAGAAAACATGTGGAAGAAGGTGCTCTGGTCAGATGAGACCAAAAACGAACCTTTTGGAATAAAGGTAAAATGCTATGTGCGGCAGAATACTAAACACTGCACATCACCCTGAACACACCATCCCCACTGTGAAACATGTGCTGGCAGCATCATGTTGTGGGTATTCTTTTCTTCAGCAGAGACAGGGGGAAGCTGGTCAGAGTTGATGGGAAGATGGATGGAGCCAAATACAGGGCAATCTTAGAAGAAAACCTGTTAGAGTCTGCAAAAGACCCGAGACCGGGGCGGAGGTTCCCCTTCCAGCAGGACAACGACCCCAAACATACAGCCAGAGCTACAATGGAATGGTTTAGATCAAAGCATATTCATGTGTTAAAGTTCGGACCTAAATCCATTTGAGAATCTGTGGCAAGACTTGAAAATTTCTGTTCTCCTTCCAATGTGACAGAGTTTGCACATCAGTGATCATTCTTATTTGCAAAATTGCTCAAAGTTGGTAGAGACATCCCCAAAAAGACTTGCAGCTGTAATTGCAGCAAAAGGTGGTTCTAGAAAGTATTGACTCCGTGGGGCTGAATACAAATGTATGCCACACATTTTTTTTCCACATATTTATTGGTAAAAAAATTTGAAAAACATTTATCATTTTCCTTCAACTTCACAATTATGTGTCACTTTGTGTTGGTCTATCACATTAAATCCCAATATAATACATTTATGTTTTTAACTGTACCATAACAAAATGTGGAAAATTTCAAGGGGTATGAATACTTTAAGGCACTGTATACCATTTAATAAATGCCAGGTCTGTGTGGAAACACACCACATTTTCTACTTGGAGGCTATTTTCTGGTGTTCATGCTGCCTTAGATGAAAAAGATGGACAGTCCTTCTGCCTCACCCCCCCCCTAACATCAGTGCCCCCATTAGAGTTTCCCCTCTCACATCAGTGCCCCCTCGTTTCAGTGTCCCCATCAGAGTCCCCTTACACACACACACACACACACACACACACACACACACACACACACACACACACACACACACACACACACACACACACACACACACACACACACACACACACACACACACACACACACACACACAATCACACCCCCACACACACACACACACACACACCCATCAGAATCTCCCCCTTACATCAGTTTCCCCATCAGAATCCCCCCCTTGAATCAATGTCCTCATCAGAATGTCTCCCTTACATCAGTGTCCCGATCAGAGTTCCCCTCTCACATCAGTGTCCCTACCAGGAGTTCTATCCTCCTGTGAATGCTGGGGCAAGCACAACATTGGTTGCTAGTATGTAGGTGGGAACGTATACTGGAGCCTGCATTGGGAGGGGAAAATGCGCAAATCATTTGCAGATCAGATAATAATATCTTGTAGTGGACCACATGTGGCCCATGGGTCACCGTTTGAAGACCCCTGCACTAGAGATCAGCCTTACACCTCCTTGGAACTAGCCAATATAGCTAAAAAAAATTCAGGTATCACCTATGGATTTACATTTTTATGAATAATAATTAAAAGCCTAAAAACCAGGCAGTCTGCCAACCCCTTCTCCATGAATGTCCATCCTCCGCAACCCTTCTGATACAAGTTTCCAGTGGTTGCCACTCAGCTACAAAAAGGTAAAATATGTCTGGAGTTTTTCGGCCGTTTTACCTACCTTGGAGGTGACTTGCTTCCTACGGCAGAGATCTGCTTGCTCTGATAATCCTTCAGTAGTTCTTCCAAAGCAACAGCATTTTCTGAGGGAAGGAAGCAGGAATTTTTCACATTTTAGAAGAGGTTTGTTTTGCTCAGTGCAAGGCTTTACCCTTAACTAAATTGAAGCACGTGCACCCCCTGGACTGTACCTGTAACTACTGTAACTAGCTGGGAGCATGTGCACCCCCCAGGCTGTACCTGTAGCTAGCTTAGGGCATGTCTCCCCCCTGGAATGTACCTGAAACTAGTTGGGGCATGTCTCCCCCCCCCTGAAAAGTACCTGAAACTAGCTGGGGCATGTCTCCCCCCTGGAATGTACCTGAAACTAGCTGGGGCATGTCTCCCCCCCCCTGGAATGTACCTGAATCTAGCTGGGGCATGTCTCCCCCTGGAATGTACCTGTATCTAGCTTGTGGCATGTGCCCCCTCTGAGCTGTTCTTGTAACTAGCTTGCAGCATGTACCCCACCTCTGGGCTGTACCTATATCTAAACTTGCAGCATGTGCCCGCCGGCTGTACCTGTCTTGCAGCATGTGCCCCCCCTGGGCTGTACCTATAACTAACTTGCAGCATGTGCCCCCCCCCTGGGCTGTACCTGAACTAACTTGCAGCATGTGCCCCACCTCTGGGCTGTACCTCTAACTTGTAGCCCCCTCTGGAATGTGTAACTATAACTAACTTGTAGCATGTGCCCCCCCCTGGGCTGGGGCAGCATGTGCCCCCCTGGGCTGTACCTGTAACTTGCAGCATGTGCCCCCCCCTGGGCTGTACTAACTAACTTGCAGCATGTGCCCCCCCTGGGCTGTACCTATAACTAAACTTGTTGCAGCATGTGCCCCCCCCCCCCCCTGGGCTGTACCTATAACTAGCTTGCAGCATGTGCCCCACCTCTGGGCTGTACCCCTATAACTAACTTGCAGCATGTGCCCCCCCCTGGGCTGTACCTATAACTAACTTGCAGCATGTGCCCCCCCTGGGCTGTACCTATAACTAACTTGCAGCATGTGCCCCCCCTGGGCTGTACCTATAACTAACTTGTAGCATGTGCCCCCCTCTGGGCTGTACCTATAACTAACTTGTAGCATGTGCCCCTCTGGGCTGTAACTATAACTAACTTGTAGCATGTGCCCCCCCCCTGGGCTGTACCAGTAACTAATTGCAGCATGTGCCCCCCCCTGGGCTGTACCTATAACTAACTTGCAGCATGTGCCCCCCCCCCCTGGGCTGTACCTATAACTAACTTGCAGCATGTGCCCCACCTCTGGGCTGTACCTGTAACTAACTTGTAGCATGTGCCCCTCTGGGCTGTAACTATAACTAACTTGCAGCATGTGCCCCCCCCCCTGGGCTGTACCTGTAACTAACTTGTAGCATGTGTCCCCCCTGGGCTGTAACTATAACTAACTTGTAGCATGTGCCCCCCCCTGGGCTGTACCTATAACTAACTTGCAGCATGTGCCCCACCTCTGGGCTGTACCTGTAACTAACTTGTAGCATGTGCCCCTCTGGGCTGTAACTATAACTAACTTGCAGCATGTGCCCCCCTGGGCTGTAACTGTAACTAACTTGTAGCATGTGCCCCTCTGCCCTAACTTGCAGCATGTGCCCCCCTGGGCTGTACCTATAACTAACTTGCAGCATGTGCCCCCCCTGGGCTGTACCTATAACTAACTTGCAGCATGTGCCCCCCTGGGCTGTACCTATAACTAACTTGCAGCATGTGCCCCACCTCTGGGCTGTACCTGTAACTAACTTGCAGCATGTGCCCCCCCTGGGCTGTACCTATAACTAACTTGCAGCATGTGCCCCCCCTGGGCTGTACCTATAACTAACTTGCAGCATGTGTCCCCCCTGGGCTGTACCTATAACTAACTTGCAGCATGTGCCCACCTCTGGGCTGTAACTATAACTAACTTGTAGCATGTGCCCCCCTCCCCCCTGGGCTGTAACTATAACTAACTTGCAGCATGTGCCCCGCCTGGGCTGTACCAGTAACTAACTTGCAGCATGTGCCCCCCCCGAGCTGTAACTATAACTAACTTGCAGCATGTGCCCCTCCCGTGCTGTACCAGTAACTAACTTGCAGCATGTGCCCCCCCGCGCTGTGTACCTATAACTAACTTGCAGCATGTGCCCCTCCTGGGCTACCATAACTAACTTGCAGCATGTGCCCCCCCGGGCTGTACCTATAACTAACTTGCAGCATGTGCCCCCCTGGGCTGTACCTATAACTAACTTGCAGCATGTGCCCCCCCCTGGGCTGTACCTATAACGAACTTGCAGCATGTGCCCCCCCCGGCTGTACCTGTAACTAACTTGCAGCATGTGCCTCCTCCGGGCTGTACTTATAACTAACTTGCAGCATGTGCCCCCCCTGGGCTGTACCTATAACTAACTTGCACCACGTGCCCCCCCCCCCTGGGATGCACCTGTAACTAACTTGCAGCACGTGACAACTCTGAGTCTGCTGACACCCCCATCCATGATGGAGACACTCAGCAGTAGTCTCAGAACTTTTAAATGTTTACACAAGGGTGGCTTTTACAGACAATAACATACATAAAATGTGTTAAATGCCCATATAATCCTATGGGAAAAATAGTTGTTTAAATGAATGATCTGTCAACTGGGACTCAGAGTTACTCCAGCAAAAAGACCATCAGTAAGTGAACTATATCTGTTAATCTATCCAGAAAAACAAGTTTGACTGTGCTAACGCACAGTTCGCTGAATTCACCAATTAAATGATTTATAAATAAAATTCCCAGAATCCTTTGATCTTTAACACATAGGGCAACAAGTGTCAGACTTAAGCTGGCCATACACGTATAGATTTTCGTTCAAGAATTTTTGATCCAGGAATATTCATTGATTGTCTAATCGTTAGTGGGGTCAAATCGATGTTTGTTTTTGACAGCAGCGACGGGAAAATTCGAAGGGGCAGGAAGGAAAACTTCTCGATCAAACGAGTTTTCGGCCATTGTATGGTTTTCGTTCAGAAATTAAATTCATTTTAAAATCAACTGTTAAAAGCAAGAGACAATTTTCGAACGACATTCATCCATTCATCGAATGTTCAAAGAATTTTTCGTACGACTTTTCTTATGAATATTCTCATCTGAAAATCTACGCTGGTATGGCCAGCTTTAGTTTCCTACTGAATCTCTTGAAATTCTAGCCATGGGTGGCCCTGTGGCACCACTTGGCTCAACAAAAAAAACATTGATTTAAAGATTATTATTATTATTATACAGTATTTATAAAGCGCCAACAGTTCACTCAGCGCTGTACAATACAGAACATGCGACAGTACAATAACAATACAATGTGATACACGAGGGGTTTGAGGTTACAATCTAGGAGGGAGGGGATGGTGGTACAGGAGGAGATAGCTGTGGGGGCTGGAGTGGTAGGAAGAGTGGAGGAGATCGGCAATTAGCAGGGGTGGGGGTAGGCTTACCTGAAGAGGTGGGTTTTCAGGGTGCGCCTAAATGAGAGGAGAGTAGGTGATAGTCTGATGGACTGGGGTAGGGAGTTCCAGAGGATGGATGACGCCTGGAGAAATCCTGGAGGCAGGCATGGGAGGAGAGACCAGGGAACTAGAGAGAAGGAGGTCTTGAAAGAAGCGGAGTGTGCGTGATGGGTGGTACTTGGATATTAGGTCGAGATATAATTTGGGGCAGTATGATGGACAGCTTTGTACGTCAGTGTTAGGATTTTGAATTTGATCCATTGGGCGATCGGAAGCCAGTGGAGGGGTTGGCAGAGGGGGTGGCAGAAAAGGAGCGGTTGGAAAGGTGAATGAGTCTGGCAGCCGTATTCAGGATGGACTGAAGTGGGGATAGCCAGCGGCGAGGCAGGCCAGTGAGGAGGGAGTTGCAGTAGTCGAGTCGTGATATGATGAGGGAGTGGATGAGCTGTTTAGTGGTTTCTGGGGTTAGGAACGTGCGGATTTTGGCGATGTTGCAGAGGTGGAGTCTGCATGAGTTAGTTAGTGATTGGGCTTGGGGCTGGAAGGATAGGTTGGAGTCCAGAATGACCCCAAGTACTCTGGCCTGCGGGGCGTGCCTAATAGTGGCATTGTTGGACGTGATGTAGAAGTCAATAGGGGGTGTGAGGGCTGGGGGAAGACTAGGAGCTCGGTTTTGGAGAGGTTCAGTTTAAGGAAGTGGAGTGACATCCAGTCTGATATGAACTTTTTTAGCACCATTTACCAGTTTACATAATTAATGCACTTATTTGCACTTTTTCTATTCTACATGCGTTTATGATTGACAACATGCATCTATAGCGCTGCACCACCACTGCAACATATTTCTATTCTGGGACTGTTGCCAATACCCTGAGTGCTAGCTGCTACCTTCATAAAGATCAACTGAACCAGATGGAAAATTATCAGATGCAGTTTGGCCCCTTTCAAATGGGCGTTCCGATCCTGTCTGCCTGCCTGTGTTTCAGGTGACCCCATCAGAACCTCTATTCTCTAGGAAGTGATGGGTGTAAACAGGTATGTCCGTTTAGACCCACCGACATCCAATCTGATCGGCCAAAAAGACAGATGGGAAGCCGTTCCCCTTCTGTCCATCGGATTTGGATGGCAGTCGGATAGAAACGGACAGGTGGTCCGTTTCCATCCGACCACCCATAGAAAACAGCAGGCTGTGTCTGTGTTCGCTCTGCATAAGCAAAGTGGACACGGACCCATCATTTGCTTGCTCAGCGGGGATCAGCAGACCGATCCCCCGCTGAGCAACCAGATCCGCTGACGGGTCCACCCTGGGTTAAAGAGCCTTACTGTTTTCAGGAAGCTACAAATGTTGTAGCTGCCTAAATTCAGTGGAGATTCCTCCATCCATCCATGTAGATGGAGGAATCTATTTTCTCTTGTTTAGTCTGCAGGCTGAATGGGAGAAATCTAGGTGTGTTTGGCTAGCCTTAAAGTAGAACAAAAATTAAACCAAATTTAAAGACCATTTGCCACTGACCTTTTTTCTCCGTAATAAGACGCACCAGAACCCCAATGGTGTCCTCATTGCCATTCTCCTCTAATAGGGTGGAGGGGTTAATACCTGTCAATATATAAACAGGGAAAATAAATTTCTGCTGAGTCAAGCATTTCAAAAAAGGGGTCTTATTTGGCGTTTGTGGTCTACTGTATGTCAGTACAGCAGCACATGATGTATGAGCAAAAGGCCACGGAGCTCATAGCAACTTAGGCTACCCACAACCATACACCGGCTGTAGGCTGATTGAATGATCATCTGAGCAGACACTGGACTAAACAATCTAGACAATGGAAGTTTGTATGCCAATGACTGCAGAATGACTTTCAGAATTCAGATTTTCAAAACATGTAATTTCAATGGTATGTGCTAATGACGTAGAAGATTTTGCACAGGTCATGGTGACTCCATTGTACAATCACATTAAATATATTTGCAGGTTGCTGGGTGCCAATATTTTTGCAGCTGTGCTCCAAAGCCCACAAAGCACTTTGTGGCATATGTGTTAACACACCCCAAATTCTCTGCTCTTCTGTTAAAAAAAAAAAAACACACACACACACAAACCCCTAAAAACTGTATTAAAACCCAATAACAGATAATAATGTAATGGGTTGCAGCTTGCCATTCCTTAGATTTGGTGGCTGCATTTGGTTTCTCATTTTCCCTTTATTCTCACCTGGTGATCCTGCCAGTAACACACTCCTGTCCTACAGTGACAACGCTCACTCAGTATACTGTATATAGCAGAGTTGACACCCTAGACCAGGACTACAAGACAACCCCCAAATGATCTTCTCCATAACATAGGAGGTGGTGTTTTGTATTCCAGAAATAACTGGGAACAATGTAATTAAGTGTGCAGGAAAGGCAGCAATCACAGGAGGTTAGCTTTCGGGCAGGACCAGCAGACTATTTTAAACAATTATAGGCCACGTATAATAAAATGCTTTCAATGATAAAATTTAACACACCAAAAAGGGAGCATTGTAAGGATTTACACACACTTATTTACAGCATACATCATTGTCCTCGATACACTCCAATCATTTTAGCATAATGAATGAGTGAGAACAAAAAGGTCCCTCCTGCTCATCATAACACTATATAAAAGTCCTCCACAACCTTTACAAATATACGGAAAAAACCCAGCCACCAACAATGGGTTTTATATAGGAAGGCAGCTGTGCCGGGACCATCTCCCTCCCCGGGAGGGGCAGTTGGCTCTGTGCTGACAATATATGATCTATCACATATGTCTAGAGCTCTCCGACATTAAACGTCCGCAGGGACTTGTTAATCCAAGTGGGTATAGTCTGTTAGACAGAACTCACTCAATTCCTATAGCAACAATAGATATGCTAACCGGGTGACTTACAGTTGCCATATTAATGAAGAGGTATGGTCACAACGCAACCCTGCTAACGGCAATGTGTTATTTTATAGCTATACAGGTCAAGTAGATGTAACCCCAAACTAAATGGCACTTAGCTAGGTATATCCCCTAAAATCCAATTTTTCATTTAATGACGTTGATCTTCTTCAGCCACTTTTAGTGCACTCTCTAGTGTCGGCTACACGTCATTGCTTTGTCAACCACTTGTGACAGGTTCCCTTTAAGATTATGCACTGTGTTTGTGTACATGACCATTGTGTGGACCATGTCCAATTTACCAATCATGACCAGGGTGAACAATGTCTGCAATTTACTGATCAGAACAAGGATGGACCATGTCTGTACAGTGAACTGAAATAAAATAGGCACTGTGGAAAATGCTCTCAGACAAGCACCTTAATGAAGGTGCATCTTTATTGGGTGAGACAAAGTAGCAAATAGAATAACATTTGACCAGTCTGAAGTGAACAGTGTGACTCCAACGGACGGCCCGTCCGCTCTGAAGGGAGTGGAGATCGGAGAACGCTCCTGTCAACTTCAAATCACGTGGTGTCAGCGTACTGGCGTCCCGGGTGGTGTCACCATGGCAAGCGAAGGCAGTGTCAGGCATTGGCTTCAGCTGGGAGCATGTGTAGGGTAAAGATGACATGTTTCGCGCAGTTGCGCTTTGTCAAGACTCAGCGGACGGGCCATCCGTTGGAGTCACACTGTCCACTTCAGGCTGGTCAAATTTTATTATATTTGCTACTTTGTCTCACCCAATAAAGATGCACCTTCATTAAGGTACTTGTCTGAGAGCATTTTCCACAGCGCCTATTCTTTTCAGTTGTCTTCATCATGCAAATGATTAACAAGGCAGCAGCGGTGAGCTCATGATTAACTGTTCACATGTTTTCACCTGGAGTGGCCTCTCTGCGCTCATTTGTATGAGTTTTCCTGTCTGTACAGTATATGTCAGTATGTTTGTAGTCTCCACCAGGGGTGCATGTATGCATGTAACAGGGAGACAACAAATGGGAAATACCCTGTAACATAAATTGCCCAAACCTTTATGGCAGGATCACCAAGTATTTTATACAACTAAAAAAAAAGGCAATAAAAGAGAATGACACACACACATATAAATATATACACACACATATATAAATATATATATATACACACACACACACACACACACACACACACACAACACACACAACATATATATATATATACACACACACACACACACACACACACACACACATATATAATATATATATATATATATATACACACACACACACATATACACACATACATACATATATATATACACATACATACACATACATACATACACTGTAATGATATATGAATGGTTTCACTTGTCAATACACTCCTGCCGCACTGCCGCACGTTATGGCCAGAAGAGTGACACAAAACTGTGTCTCTGACTAAAGTTGAATAATGTCCGTGCTATAGGTGTAGGCCATTTACGTACCTCATGAAGCCTGACTGGAACACTCCCAGGACGTCACTAAGTGAGGCCTAGTCATTACTGCTTTTTCTCCGATTCAGACTTCCTCACATGCAGTTTCTCTCCCCTGATGCAGTAGTTCTGAGCTCAGCGTCAGAGAGCTCACGTCTGTGATGGAGGAGGTGAAAAGTAACATGTAGGCCTCACCTAGCAAGTCCTGGGAGTATTCCAGTCAGGTTTCATGAGGTACTTAAATGGCCTACACCTATAGCAAGGACATTATTAAATTTTAGTCAGAGCTGGACAGTTTGTTTTTATCCCCTTACCTGCCTCGGCAGTTCTTTGGAGATGGTGAATTATCCCTTTAAGGCCATAATAAAAGTAACCTACTTCACAATTTTAATAAACACAAAAAACTGGGCCATGGGGTGGTTTTTGTTTTAATATAGGTCTACAATTCTGCTTTCAAGCAGATCTATATATCAAAATAAAAAAAAAAAAAAATCTTTGTCTAATACAGATTCCTTGGCAGTCAATTATGGCAAAACTAATTCTATTCTATCAGCTGTCCAAAATAGAGATGAGCAGATAAGAAGTCTTGTCCTGAAGACGGTAAAGTAACTCCCTTTTAGCAACATGTTTAACAAGGTGGCAACATTGAACACAACTGAAAAGTATTAGCATACGGAGATTCATTAGAAGGTTCTCATAGTTTTCTCCTCTGAGGTCTGTAGACGCTCTGAGGAATTCTTCTTTTGCGTCTTGTTTAAAATAAGTTCCCAGTCGGACAACAGTCATGTGCCCAAACACAATGCATGAAACTAAAGTGAACCTGTCATGCAGTACAAAGTATGAGAGCACCTCTAAGAGCCTGTGAATACCAGTACGGTCTATGCAGGACCTGGGAGAACCTGAACTCTACACACAGCATACAGATCTCAACTTTGGTCCAAATTTAGAGCCCAGGAGGGAAAAGAGAAACAATACGACAGGGAAATGAGAAAAAAATTACAGAGGGTGAACCATCAATCTCCAGTTCAAATGAATAAAATAACTATATTTTAACATACAGCTAGCAGAAGTTATGGAACCTGTCTTGATATAGACTATCAACAAATCTTGGCTTTCTTAAAACGGTCACGTTTAGTACAACACCCCACCTGCCATCAAAGGCTCTCTATTATTTGGGACCTGAATCATAATTTTAAAGAAACTGGTGGTGGCTTGGGAAGAGGAAGGGGGAGATCACAAAGCAACTTTTACAAGTCCAGATTTGCTAATAAACATTAGCTGCCTTTATCTCTGGATCTTCTGATTGTATAAACATATGCTCAGCCAGGATAGCCTAGGTTTAATAGGTAGTATGCACTACAGATAAACGCCATGGAAGCCTAAAGGAGGGAACAAGACTAATGAAGTTATCCTCGATGGGTTCACTGGATGAATTCTCCTGTGGACTGGTAAAATGATGATCACCACTTTGCCTCCTTACTTTTACATACCTTCTCTTTCCATAGTCTAGCCAAACTTTCAGAATTATCCAGAAAGATAATGAGACTCTGTTCAAGACAAACCAGTTTATGGAAATAATATAAAGAATCATACTTTTAGCAGGGCTGCCCTATGCCACATTACCTGGTGGCGAGAAAAGGTGTGTTGGTCAATGAATGGGAAGTCTACAGGCCAAACTCACCATCTTTCTCTGGAGAGGCCTCCTCATCAGGCTTATGGGAAGTGCAGCGATAACCTTTTTTCTTCAGCAGGTTACACAGGAAAATGCCTGTCAGGCCCATCATACAGAAGACTGGCACAATCGCCAACACGGCATACTGAGTCCGAGAATCCTCTGGCACACCTTTATGGGTACTGTTTTGAGAGGCCTTATCTGCATTACTTGCAGCCTCTAGTGTCCTAGGAGCTGGAGGTCGCAGCGTTCTCTCACCTGCAGCAAGCAAAAGAAATGGGAGGAATAATAATTTATATCTGCCAACTTGGATTTAAGGAATATTACCGGGTGCATAGCCCTTTGGAACAAAATTCTGATGTAAAATGGTCTTCTTCATACAGACAGTAGCCGGAGCAGCTGCTAAACATTCTTCAGTTACTGGTTTCTGGAGAGCTGCAAGAAGCCGTTCCTTCTGTCCTGACACTGATAATTGGACAAATGCATCTAAACCCAAGAAGGCTGCATTAGTTTTCTTTTCAACCAGTTTTTTCCTTTATATTTTACCTGGCAACCCTGCCAGTATACCTGGCAATCCTGCCAGTAACAGACCTCCTGTCCTAGGGTGACAAAGCTCACTCACTGTGGAGGAACATTGTCACCTTGGACTAGGACAGGACTATAAAACACCCACCTCCCATCTCTGTAACATATTGAAAAGTGCTCTGCATTCCTAATATACTTCCTGATAACAATGCTTGAGATAAGATGAAGAGCTCACTGGATTTCTGGCATTATTAACAGTTTTTTGTTCTATTTAAGCCAAACTGGAGTGATATTTGTCCAATAAAACAACTGCAGATATTTCTAAAGCATCAGTAGATCCAACAGTAATATTTTAGTTAAAGATGGAGCCTGGTAGACGGAGTCAGGTTCTGGATTTATATAAGCCTTTGATGCTCCAAGAGTGAAATCTCCCAAAATTCCCAGCTTTGTTCTTTGTCAGTTGCTGAAGCCTTGACAGACGGATATCCATTCTGACATGAACATTACAAGTACAGAATTGCTCACCTTCACATCCCACAGTGTCTGGAGGAGCCAGCCAGCATGCGACACAGATGTTGGGACTTTTGGCTACTAGAGGGAAATGCCTGAAAACAGATGAATAGAGGACAAGATTTAATATGCATACCCACATTTTAGAAATATGCACACCACCAAGTGCCACCCCCAATGTGACTTTTCGGGTCCCCAGAATATCAGACCAGGAAAGAGGCACACTGTAATACATATACGTTGCCCCACTTCATACATATCTTATTTTAGAGGTCTTCAAGCTAATAACATGACACAGGGTCCTCTGATCTCTGTATTTTGATCAGGATGGATGGATTTCTCCCTCTGTCCTCCAGGGGTCCTATATATCCCTTACTTCCTTTCTTTATTTCTCCATATTTGGGTGCAATGAAAGAAAGAAAAACATAGGAAAGAGATATGGGAAGGGAAATAGATGAGGAGGAGCAAAGGAAAATGTTTAGATTAATTCACGAAAATATCAGTATGCAGGAGGTGGAAATAAATTATAAGTGTTTGGTAAGATGGCACATTACACCGAATGTAGAGCATAAATGAATGGGGAGATTTCACTATTGTGTTGGAGAGGTTGTGGGGAGGTGGGCACGTGGTATCATATATGGTGGGAGTGTTCAAGAATACAGGTGTTTTGGCGAAAAATAGTTTATTTAGTAAGGAAAATTACCAAAATTAATATTGGATTAGACCCAGAGCTATGTCTTCTCCATATCACAGAGCTTCCAGTGAGATTATATAAGGTTTTGGGGATATGGCACTTTTTGAGTGCAGCGAAGAGTTTGATACCTAGGTTTTGGGGGAAAAAAAAGGAGGTGCCGACAGAGGAGGATTGGATGGGCAGAATGAATCAGATCTGTGGGACAGAAAGATTGTATTATATGCATATAGATAAGATGTAGATGTATAATATAAAGTGGAAAAAATGGGAAGAGTATAGAGAAAAAGTGAAATATATGAGGATGTAACACCCCTTGAAATGGATTTTAGAAATAATAGAAATGCTTGGCGTAAAGGAGAAGAGAGAAAACGCAGAGTGTGTGTGTGTGTGGGGGGGGGGGGGGGGGGGCGGGGTTGGGAGGGGGAGGAGGAGGGGGGGAAGAGGGAGGGAGGGATGAGGCGTGGGAATTAAATAATTTATGCTAATAGGAAGATATTGTTTGGATGTCTTTTTAATTGAAAAAAGGTGATTGTGAAAAAAAAAAAAAAAAAAAAGAAAGAAAACATAGTGCCTTATCCTTTAAAACAATTTATTTGTATAGCCAATGGTATTCCACTCACATTTTCATTAACATAACCAAGCTTTTAAATATATCCTCTGTGTGTGCATTGCACACTTCCTGTACTCGTCGTATTATCTCCTGAGTGCATCGTGATGTCAGAGCCCCTCCCCTAAGCGTTACGCCACCGGGTCACGTGGCTTCATCAGGGAGAATCCCTCTGACGTCACGACGCACTCAGGAGATAATACGGCAAGTACAGGAAGTGTGCAGAGCACACACAGAGGATATATTTAAAAGCTTGGTTATATTAATGAAAATGTGAGTGGAATACCATTGGCTATACAAATAAATTGTTTTAAAGGATAAGGCACTATGTTTTTCTTTCTTTCATTGCACCCAAATATGGAGAAATAAAGAAAGGAAGTAAAGGATATATAGGACCTGTCAGGGATCCTGGTATGACCAGAAATGTGTGGGAACACAGGTGTAGTCAGGGCTGGAGAGGTGGAATGGTCAGGCAGGCCATTTGGTACTGTTAAGCACCGCCTGGCGGCGTCTCTAGCGGCCCACAGCACGAGGTTCCTCAGGGGAGCGGGGTCTAAGTCCCAATCTGCTTATTCACCAGGGCCCCGGATGGTGGGGATGGACTTGGAGCAGAAAGACCAGGTCGCGACCCCTGAGTCCGGCAATGGTAGAGAGCGTCGTCAGAGGTGTGCGGGGAAAAGGAGCCTGATGTGAAGAGGCTGGCAGACCTGGTAACAGGGACAGATCCGTGCGGGATGGATGGATCGTCTGGGTAGCGCAAGGCGTAGTCAGGCAGGCCAGGTCAGCAACGCGCGGGGCAGCGAGGTACCGGAGGAGCAGGCAGAGAATGGTCAGGGTCACAAGCCGGGTTCATTAACTCACAGGCAGAGCGGTATAGAGGATCAGGCAGAAGGATGGACAGGCAAGCCAGGGGTTAAACAGGAGACGGTCAGCAGGGTCAGGAACAATGCAGAGGTCGGCAACAAAGGATTCACAGGATACCAGGTACAGGAGGCTCATGGGAAACAAAACACCAAGGCACTGACTGCAGGCCTGGTCCTGCATAAATAGACCTCCTGCAATCAGCCTCAGGTGATGGCTTGATTGCAGGAGTGAGACCCTGGCTGCTGAAAGCACCCTCTGTTAGGAGCTGGTACTGCAGCCCACAGAGCAAGTGAGCTACAGCACCACCAGTGGTGAGTCCATTACTGATAGGACCCCTTGAGGACAGAGGAAGCAATCCTTCCATCCTGATCAAAATACAGGGATCTTCGTGCCTGAGAGACCCCCTGAGGGAAAATAAAAGTATTACATCTTGTAAATCATTATTCCTGGAAGTATACCATCACTGGAAATTTCCTCATCTGTCCAATTTAGGACAAAAAAGTTGTTTTAGCCTAATCACAAGTTGGGCTAAATTTAAGGTGAGCACATATGTAAGAAAGGTGTACCCGATTGTTCAGAATATAATCACGGAGTGGACACAATATTGGATTGTATTTATATATTTTTCTGGACACTTTTGTGATTTTTTTTTTAAATTTTATTTATTTTTTTGGACACTTTTTTGATTATATATATTAATTTTATATATTTTTCACATGTAAAATTAGTGCACATTAATATTTTTTTTTGATATTTGGCATATATATATATATATATATATATATGTTTGTTTTTTCACTATATATATTTTTATGCATATTATATTTGGATCACTTAATATATGGTCACAAAATAATATTAGCAATATTATGGTCACAAATAACAGGCAATAATAGCAATATTTAGAACTTTGTTCACATATTTTTAATTCAGTGGAGCGCGACACAAATTATATATACATTTTATTAGTATTTTTGCACAGCCATATGAGTATGTGTCACAGTGTCAGTAAACCACATTAATTTCAAATTTTATTGCATCAATTTATTTATGCACAATTATTAATTTTATCATAGTAGCTCGCAAGCACCATTTAACTTAATGACACAGGGTCCTCTTGGCCTCATCTCCAGTGCTTAAGGATGCTGAGAGCTCCTTGCACCATTGTATTATCAGCACGGGGGTGCCATGATGACAGTATTAAAAAAAAACTGTAATTGGGCTTTAAACTGATCATATCATTAAAAAGAAAAAAAAAAAAATGCATAAACAGAGGTTACCTCTGTTATGACATATAGTCCAAGTTTTGCACAGATTGTGATCCCCTGCACCCCCTGATTCCCTGAAGTGACAGCTAGTGGGGGATCTCCTCCATCCACTAGCAGCCACAATTTTTTTTAAAAATGTAGCCATGTGGAGCTCCACCTGCCCAGCCGCATCACTCATTCACAGTGTTTCTGTGAATGAGAAAAACTACAAGTCCCAGCAGCCTTTGCGGCTGTCAGCTTGTAGTTCTCGATGAACTATCATGGCGCTGTGGTAGTTTATTCAAGCTTCCCGTCAGTAAGTATATAGGCTTCCCCATACAAGGTACAAGGAAGCAGATACACTGATAGTATGCAGAAGACCTGCATCGCATCAGCAATCTGGTGAAATGCTTTACAGGCTCCCAAATAAAAAAAAATAATAAATGCACATTTTTTTACATGCAAAAAAAAAAAAATGTGCATTTATTATTTTTTTTGTTGAAAGGCGAACTTATCCTTTAAGCTCACCCTTTACCACCTCTGGAGACTCTGTTGGATACTAAAGTGGGCACATCACATTCAAGTATGGATAAAGAGGCTTGGAAGGTATGAAGCGGTAGGGTAATAATCCATTTTCACAAGACAATTCAAGATTTTTGTTTAAATGCTGCTGAGTGCATCTCTGGCTCAACTGAGCCATTTGGTAAGTGATTTTCATTGGAAATGACCTCTGATTATGTTGAATGCTTGCAGTCTGTATGAGCAGACAGAGATTTGGAAGAGGAATAGTAAATTGCAATCACCGCGCAGCACTCCAAAGCAAAAGCAGTCTGTATATGAAATTAGTAAATCTTTAATCTATATATAGAAACAAGGCTTTTAAAACATCAAAGCGCATTGGTAACATATACATTAAGCTTGATAGTCATTGGAAATGAGGTCGTGGCTTGGAAAAGATATGAACCATCTTCAGCAACAGTCCAGCTGAATGGGACTGACTACTACTAATTTTATATTACATTACACCTATTACATTTTTATCTAAAAACTGTAAAGCCCAGCTAGACTCTCAGACTTTGAAAAAGTGTTCCCCGCACTCAGCTAATGTGTAAGGTAAAGTCAACAGTCTTGAAAAATACAGTTTGTAAATGGAAAGGAAACTGGATAAAAGACCACATATTCAGAGTATTCTGAATGGTCTAGGGGTGTCAGTGGTGTACCCCAAGGTTCAGTGTTGGACCCTTTAATATATTTATAAACAATACAGGTTCTGGAATTACAAATACCATTTCAGTCTTTGCAGATGAAGTTATGCAGTGGAGTAATGTCCTTACAGGATGTCTCCAACTTACAAGCCGAACTCAATGCATGGTTTTATTGGGCAAATATGTGGAAAATGTTGATAAATGTAAAGTTATGCACTTGCGGGCTAAGAAAATTCATGTATCATACATATGGGAGTACAACTGGGGGAGTCAATGTTGGAGAAGTGTGTATGTGTGTGTAAAATCACCATGTATAATCACATACGGGGAATACGGTCACCCAGTATAAATTCATAAGTGGTCCACTTGGTGTAGAGTTATTCACTTTCAGGTCCACCTGCTGAACGTGACCCAATCCACTGTTAGTTCTGGGTTTTTAGAGCCTCCTTCACAATGCCATTTAGTTGCATCCACTGGATTCTTGCAGCTTGAATGACAGGTGCATGCAAATAGTGGTGGCCACTCAGCCTGTGTATTGACAGGCTGACAGCAGCCGTTACTGTTCACACCAAGCATATACTTGTGATTAGTGTTGTGTGTTCCTGCCTGGTCAAGTCACAGTGGCTAAATGGTTAGCACTTCCACCTGGCAGTACAAAAAGGTCATTGGTTTGAATCCCAACCACGGCACCACCTGCCTGGAGTTTGCATGTTCTCCCTGTGCCTGTGTGGATTTCCTCCGGGTACGCCAGTTCCTCCCATACTCCAAAGACATGCTGGTAGGTTAATTTGATCCTATGTAAATTGGCCCTAGCATGTGAATTAGGGACCTTAGTTTGTACCCCCTTGAGGATTAGGGACTGATGTGAATGTACAATATATAAAGTTTGCATACCCTGGCAGAAATTGTGAAATTTTGGCATTAATATTGAAAATATCATCCTTCAATAAGAGCATTTTTTTGGCATGATAAGTCATATTTTCAATATAAATGCCAAAATTTCACAAATTCTGCCAGGGTATGCAGACTTTTGAGCACAACTGTGTATATATATATACACACACACACATACATACATATACATACACACTGTATGTTGAAATGCGTTTTTATTACCAAATATATGAAAAGTATTTTACAAATTACATTTTTAAATATAATGTCTGTCTTTCAAAATACATATGTTAAAATGACTTTTTTATATGTTAAAAAAAAATCTGAAGAATATAATTAAAAAAAGATATTTTTAAAAATATTTTTCATATATTTTGTAATACATAAAAAAACTAATTTCAATGTGCAGTGTGTGTACATTATATATATATATATATATATATATATATATATATATATATATATATAGTGGCCTAGTCAGGTAAGCTGTATGTAAGGGTGGGGGGGTTGGGCCCAGTCAGGTAGGCTGTATGGGGCCCCACGATTTCTAACAGTGGCCCTGGGTCAGAGACCTGATTTTTTTCTGCTGCAACCCACCGCAACTTACAGGTCTTGTCCCTACCCCAGCCTTTGACTGAACAGTGAAAGGAGAAGCAGCAGAACGAGGAGCTAATCTGTTACTCTTCTCCTCCTATCAGCACGTCCCTTGATAAACCTATGCAGTGCAGCACAGCCGACTGGCTTTGTGTTGCTTCATCCTCTTGCCATTCTGATGTACAGGGACTGAAAGAAGTTGCTAAAAGATCATATTCAGGTATTTTGTTGCTTGCATAAAAAAAAAAAAAAGTAAGAATACAGTGCTGAATTAATTTGTGTATTTCATATCTTCCTGGACTTCAGTTTTAAACTTGTTAATTTATGAATACCTAAACAATTGGCATAACCACAAATACAGAACATTCAAAATTACCTGCACATGTACCAGTTGAAGGTACAGCAATTAGGAAATAAAAATGAATAATAAATAATAAAAAAAAAAACAAAAAAAGAAAAAAACAAAAAAAGAATTTTAACCTTTTTTTAACCCAAGTCCAAAACCACACCGGACCAACTCTGTCCATGAAATGGTTCTTGTTACACACCTTGGTATGCAGTCTCCACACACAGCATCTGCACTTGGTGACCCGACTCTCAGCTCTACCCTCTTTTTCTTGTCGCATTGGGTGTACATACTGCAGGGGGCCAGTCCATGACGACTGGAGAACATGCCAGGAGCGCAGGGCCTGCATCCAACCTTGGAGCCAGCGCCAAAGCCACACACCTGCAAAGTTTAAATCGCAAAGAATAGTACATCTCAGGAGTCAGTTACTGACCGAGCCTGGAATTGTTCAGCAGATATTAAAGTGGAACTAAAAAGGCAAAAATTGGGAACAGGTAGGCTTTTTATTGCAGAACAGACACGCAATGCAATGACTGTTCTAAAACCAAATACACCCACCTGCTTGTTTGCAATCCCCTGTAAAACATACACTGAGCTGCACATGCACAGCTCAATTTACAACTTGGCACATTTGCTGTGTGCTGGAATAACTACACTCCCATGCATGCGAAGTGACCTCATCTTGTGCCAGACAAACAAGATGGGTGAAGACCGGCACCCGGAAGAAGCCGGGGACATAATGCTGGTGCCGGTGAGGGACCTCACAGATGTCTGCTGTTGGAACAGAGGTATCTGAGCCTTTAGCTCCACTTTAAAAATGAGGCTTTCTAAAATGTACACCAAAAAAAAGAGAAGAGCATTTTGCAATTAAAATGGTAAATTGGACCAGTCATGAAAAAAAAACAAAAAAAAAAAACCCAAGTCACCGACTGTATATATTTAAGGTAGTGCTCAGGGTCAGTGACTCAAAGTATCAAAAACAGAATGATCACAACATTCAAACGGCTAGCAGTTTCAGAAATTGGTTGACAGAAACAATTGAGTACTGATCATGATACTTTTTTTATTTGCACTAAGATACAAGTACTGCTTGGACCTTGAAGGAGACATATCCCAAAAGCTTGTCCTGAAAATTGTATGTTAGTGCAAATAATAAATAAAAAGTATCACAGACAGTACTCAATTGTTTATGTCGCAAGTACACTAACACGACTACAAACACCAAGAAATTGTTTGAGAATGGCTACCCACCGAACTCTCCCACGACAGGCCCCATTTATAGTAAACCTGGTATAAGCTAAATAGGGTGGTGCAAATTGCTGACCTTCTACTGAAAATGTAGGTTGCTTGGTTATCACGCTGTCCTACCCACATGGAAAAAATATATATTTGAAATAGTTTAAAAATATTCTTCCCAAATATATTGACATACATTTGAAATACTACAATGTTGGTCGTATTCAATATTATATATATATATATATATATATATATATATATATATATATACATATACATACATACATACATACATACACACACACACACACACATATATATACATACACACACACTGCACGTTGAAATTTTTTTATATATTACAAAATATCTGAAAAATATTTTTCAAAATATATTTTACTTATATTCTTTAGATTTTTTTTTAACATATAAAAAAGTTATTTTAACATATGTTTTTACATATATTTGTAAATGCATTCCAAAAATGTAGAATAAATGTATTTTGAAAGACATTATATTTGAAGATGTAATTTGTAAAATACTTGTCATATATTTTGTAATAACGCATTTCAACATACAGTATATATACAGTTGTGTTCAAAATAATAGCAGTCAGACATCACTAACCGGATCAATCACTGTTTTTTGGTAGAAATTATATTTCTACATGGCAAATAATTTACTAGCAGGTGTAGTAGAGTAATAGAAATCCAACAGACCCAACAGTCATGACATGCATGCTGCTGATTCTGTGTAATTGAATCACTCATTGAAAGGGGCATGTTCAAAATAATAGCATTGTGGAGTTCTATTAGTGAGGTCATTCATTCTTTGAAAAACAGGTGGCAATTATTGCCCTTATTTAAGGAAGGAAGGCAGCAAATGTTGTACATGCTGGTTACAGTGCATTTCTCTCTGAAATTCTGAGGAAAATGGGTTGTTCCAGACATTGTTCAGAAGAACAGCGGACCTGGATTAAAAAGTTGATTGGAGAGGGGAAAACATATAAAGAAGTGCAGAAAATGATTGGCTGCTCAGCTAAAAGGATCGCAAATGCTTTAAAATGGCAACCAAAACCTGAAAGACGTGGAAGAAAGGGAAAAACTACCATTCGAATGGATAGAAGAATAGCCAAAATGGCGCAGACTCATCCAACAATCAGCTCCAGGAAGATGAAAGAAGGTGTAAAGTTCCCTGTGAGTACTGTTACAATTAGAAGACGCCTATGTGAAGCCAAGCTATCTGCAAGAAGCCCCCCGCAAAGTCCCACTGTTGAAAAAAAGACGTGTGCTGAAGAGGTTACAATTTGCCAAAGAGCACATTGACTGGCCTAAAGAGAAATGGCGCAACATTTTGTGGACTGATGAAAGTAAGATTGTTCTTTTTGGGTCTAGTGGCCGCAGACAGTTTGTCAGACGACCCCCAAACACTGAATTCAAGCCACAGTACACTGTGAAGACAGTGAAGCATGGTGGTGCAAGCATCATGATATGGGGATGTTTCTCATACTACGGTGTTGGGCCTATTTTATCGCATACCAGGGATCATGGATCAGTTTGAATACATCAGAATACTTGAAGAGGTCATGCTGCCTTATGCTGAAGAGGAAATGCCCTTGAAATGGGTGTTCCAACAAGACAACGACCCCAAACACACCAGTAAACGTGCAACATGTTGGTTCCAGACCAACAAGATTGACGTTATGGAGTGGCCAGCCCAATCCCCGGATCTTAATCCAATAGAAAACTTGTGGGGTGACATCAAAAATGCAGTTTCTGAGGCAAAACCAAGAAATAGAGAAGAACTGTGGAATGTAGTCCAATCATCCTGGGCTGGAATACCTGATCACAGGGGCCAGAAGTTGGGTGACTCCGTGCAACACAGATGTACAGCAGTTCTCAGAAACAGTGCGACTACAACCAAATATTCATGAAGTCATTCAAAGGAAAGCAAAATCTTCAAACATTTTTCAGTTTATATAGTGAATGTTTGAGTTTGTAAAGAAGAATACAAACACTGCTATTTTTTTTGAACCGTTGAATATTCACTTTTCTTCAATTTTTAGAGGAACACCACAAATTTGATCTATTTTTCTTCATGTTTTGATTTGGAATAGAATGTGTCGTGTTCCCAATGTATTTGTGTGGATGGAAATAAAAGCTATTAGAAGGATTTTGAGCTTTATTCACTTTTTTCAACACACTATTATTTTCAACACAACTGTATCTGTATATATATATATATATATATATATATATATATATACACACACACACACACACACACACACACACACACACAGTGTATATATATATATATATATATATATATATATATATATATATATATATATATATATATATATATATATATAAAATAAATTTTTCTTCCATGTGGGTATAGCCTTTAATATCTAGTAGTAGTTGATCACATTTAACCGGACTTGTTCCATGATGAAGAGGTTCCTTAGCTTTATTCAAGTCACTGAAGAAGAGGCTTTACAAACAAAATCTGGTTGAATGTGCCAACCCTTACTAGATACTATGACCTGGATACATGAGAACCTTCACAGATGGTCTTCAAATGCTCTCCAAGTGTTCTGCTGAAGAGCTGGTTAGGCTTTATACACATGGCCAGTTACTTCCATGGGCTGCGCAGGGCCGTGTTCTGCTGGGACGCACATGTGTCAGACGTTCCATAGATGTCTATTGGAACACGCAGCTGTACAGACACAGCCACGGTGTCCCAATATGACATCTGTGCAGGTGCATGGCCCCAAACATGCCCAGGGTGAGCTCAGAGACCTGCACCCACACGTATGTCATATTTGGAAACAATGGCTGTATCCGTGCAGAATAAATTCATATTAAACACACGTGGAATATGCAGCTTTAGGTGCCATTTTAAGCAGCTGCCAGGAGTCCTAGCGTTCTTAGAAGAAAAGAAAATGCCAGTGTGAATGAGGCCTAAAACGCTATTGTTTTTTTTAGGTCTGACTGTTCCTTTAATAAAATATAACTTTTGTAGAAATGCAATCTCACACAAGCCAGGAAAGCTGTACAGTAACAGGCCGGTGTGACAAGCCTCATCCAATGTACTACAGAGAGGAACAAGAGATTATTACCCCGTCTGGCTCCTTCCCGGGCGGACACTTTGTGCAAGGCATACACTGATCGCTCTCATCCATGTACTCCATTTTGCCGCACACTTCCTCCTGGCACAGTGCTTCCCAGACCTGAACCTGTGGAAGACAAAACAAAAACAAGTGATGTTAAAACCCAACTCCAGCCAAAACACATCATCATGATATGGACAGAGGAGGGAATAGGCAGAACCGCTGTCAAGTCTTTATTGCCATCTATGTCCCTAGAAGGCCTCTTGCACACTGCAGCTTCAAAAAGCTCAGTACAGCGGTTTTTTTTTTTTTTTGTTTTTTTTACTGAGGTAAATGTAGCCCATTATTTACAATGTGCCTTTGCACACTGGCACATAAATAAGTGCCGTATATTCCTCAATTAAAAAAAAAAGGAAAAAGAAAAAAAAAGGGGAATATCTGCATTTTTGGTCAGTAATTTACGCCATATGCTCGCAAATTCGCGTGAACATGCGCATATGAGCATAGATATTATTGAATTTTTCCTGAGAATATATTGTGTGCGCAAATACGTGTGCGCGGAAATGCAAAACAAGATAAAGTTAACAAACCCCCCCCCCCCCCCCAAAAAAAACACACAAAAAAAAAACCAGATGCTCAAACATCAGTACCGTGTGCCTTATGGAGATTTCTCCCCCCACCTCTCAGGACAGGAAGTAATGGGAAGCATCTCCAACAGGTCACAGGTAAAACACACATCATTAGTAGAGTGTGGAGGGGGGTAACAACTTCTGACAATGTATTCATTACTGTCTGTGCCTGTCTTGGCTATAACCCCGCCCCATTTTTTTTGTCCTGGTGTCAAATGGACAGGAAGTGAAGGGAAATCTCACCCAATGGGGTCACAGACAGACCTGACCTAACTCTTCCCCACTTACTTACAAAAAAAAGGGTGACTGTAGGTAACATTTAAAGAGGAACTGAATTCTGAAAGCTGTGCTCAAAAAAGTAAAGGGCAAAGGACTAGTCATCGGTATTGCTTGTGGCATGCCTGCAGTTGGTCTTTTACCATGCCTTGTTTGCCTGTGTGACGGCCATCTTGGTAGAAGCAGGGCTTTGCTTCCTCATGTCAGAGCCTCCAGCATGGAGAACAGTGAGCAGCACAGTATTGACATCAAATCTTCTGTGCCTTAAATCTAACTTTGCAGATATAGAGTGGATATAAAAAGTCTACAAACCCCTGTTAAAATGTCAGGTTTCTGTGATGTAAAAAAATGAGACAAAGATAATCATTTCAGAATTTTTTCCACCTTTAATGTGACCTATAAACTGTACAACTCAGTTGAACAACAAACTGAAATCTTTTAGATGGAGGGAAGTGAAAATAAAAAACTAAAATAATAATATGGTTGCATAAGTGTGCACACCCTTAAACTAATACTTTGTTAAAGCACCTTTTGATGTGATTCCAGCACTCAGTCTTTTTGGGTATGAGTCTATCAGCATGGCACATCTTGGCAATATTTGCCCACTCTTCCTTGTAATAAACACTCCACATCTGTCAGATTGCAAGGGCATCTCCTGTGCACAGCCCTCTCCAGATCACCCCACAGATTTTTGATCTGATTCAGGTCCGGGCTCTGGCTGGGCCATTCCAAAACTTTCATCTTCTTCTGGTGAAGCCATTCCTTTGTTGATTTGAATGTATGCTTTGGGTCGTTGTCATGCTGAAAGATGAAGTTCCTCTTCATGTTCAGCTTTCTAGCAGAAGCCTGAAGGTTTTGTGCCAATATTGACTGGTATTTGGAACTGTTCATAAATCCCTCTACCTTGACTAAGACCCCCCCAGTTCCAGCTGAAGAAAAACAGCCCCAAAGCATGATGCTGCCACCACCATGCTTCACTGTGGGTATGGTGTACTTTTGGTGATGTGCAGTGTTGTTTTTGCGCCAAACATATCTTTTGGAATTATGGCCAAAAAGTTCAAGCTTGGTTTCATCAGACCAGAACACATTTTCCCACATGCTTTTGGGAGACTTCAGATGTGTTTTTACAAAATTTACCAGACTTGGATGTTTTTTCTTCATAAGAAAAGGCTTCCATCGTGCCATTCTACCCCATAGCCCAGACATATGAAGAATACGGGAGATTGTGGTCACATGGACCACACAGCCAGTACTTGCCAGATATTCCTGCAGTTCCTTTAATGTTGGTGTAGGCCTCTTGGCAGCCTCCCAGACCAGTTTTCTTCTCGTCTTTTCATCCATTTTGGAGGGACATCCAGTTCTTGGTAATGTCACTGTTGCGCCATATTTTCTCCACTTGATGATGACTGTCTTCACTGTGTTCCATGGTATATCTAATGCCTTGGAAATTCTTTTGTATCTTTCTCCTGACTGATACCTTTTAACAACGAGATCCCTCTGATGCTTTGGAATCTCTCTGCAGACCATGGCTTTTACTGTAGGATGCGACTAAGAAAATGTCAGGAAAGATCTACTAGATCAGCTGAACTTTATTTGGGGTTAATCAGAGGCACTTTAAATGATGGCAGGTGTGTACTGACTCCTATTTAACATGACCTTGAATGTGATTGCTTAATTCTGAACACAGCTACATCCCCGGCTATAAGAGGGTGTGCATACTTACACAACCGCATTGTTTTAGTTTATGTTTACTTCCCCCCCTAAAAGATTTCAGTTTGATTTTCAATTGAGTTGTACAGTTTATAGGTCACATTAAAAAGGTGGAAAAAGTTCTGAATTGATTTACCTTTATCTCCTTTTTTTACATCACTGAAACCTGACATTTTAACAGGGGTGTGTAGACTTTTTATATCCATTGTACAGCTATGAGGCTATAGGCACAGGAGTGCCAGGCATTCCCACTCACTGGGAGTGCACGGCTATTGGTTTTAAGAGGAACTCCAGAAAGAAAAAGGTAGATTTTCAGAGTACAGCTTAGACAATTACCACTTCTACATGTTACCTATAACATAGCAAACTATACCTTTTGAGTTCATTTTCACTTTAATTATAAAAATATTGAAAAAGGTACATTCAAAAATTGATTAAATATTCCCTGCCTCAAAAATGTTCCATAATCTATTCCCCAGAAAGCTGCATCTGTCTAAACAAAAAAAAACAAAAAAAACAAAAAACAAAAACCAAACAACTACCTGTGCCACCAATTAGACTACAACAAAGAGGACTCAGCTGGATAGGCATTTTCTGAAACCCACACTCCCCCCCTTTCCCCCAAGGCATTCATTGGTCTCTCCCACCAACTCCAACACCACTACAATGGGAGGAAACACTGAACAGAGTAGGGGCACAGGACAGGGACACTCCTGGTGTTCAGCACTGCAGGTAGCAAGTGAAGAAAGCTATCACGTACCTGGTGATGGAGGCCAATGGAGAGAGGGCTTCCCTTGCGGCTAAGTTCCGGACTCCCCTGAGAGTGGCACAGCGGGAGTCAGGCCCAAAGTTGTACAGGTCACCTGTAGGAGTGCTGGTTGGTGGTCCACTCAGAAGCACAGCTGGTGCATGGAGATAGGTCTGCACACAGGGGGTTCCTGTGCGTGGTATGCAAGCCCTTCCGGGATTTAGAGGTTTACTGGGTATTCGGTTCAAGCCAAGGTCAGGTACCAGGTGGGAATCAGAGCAGACGTAGTCAGATGGGATAGCCGAGGTCATACACAGAGGAGCAAGAGAGAGAGAGTATCCGTAAGCCAAGCCGAGGTCAGATCAGGGGTAAAGCAAAGTAGACAGGTCCAGGAGCAAGCCGAGTCGGTAACAGGAAATCACAGGTCAGTATCACAGGAACCAGGAACAGGGCACGGGGAGCTAGAGATCATCCAGCAATTTGAAGTGATGAGCCTCCTTATAAAGGCCGTCTGGCACCAGGCTGAGGCTGATGTGTACTTCTGCAGCCATGTAGAGTACTGGCAGAAATGCCAGATCTTCCAGAACTTCTGCCGTGTGGACAGGACCCTGACATAAGCATTTACACTGCATATTATGCTATGTCAAAACCATTAGCAGATTCAAAAATAAGAGAAAGCTGAAGACGTATGAAACCTTTCTGGAAAGTCACATTTCATGTCACTCTTCCCAAGCCAAGAGCCAAGGATGCTCACATTACAACTGGCCAACCACTGGCACCGGTTGTCAAATACAACAGCGGAGCAGGGGGAGATTTGACAATATGTGTGGCCATCACAAATGTAGAAATCTGGTTGGCCTTTCTATTCATCCCTTAGGTTGTACAAAAATAAAAATAAAAACCCAACCAGATTCCTACATTCGTGATAACAGCACATATGGCCGAATCTCCCCCTGCTCAGAAATTGTATTTGGACAGCCGATGCCATCGGTTGTCAGAATAGCCAAAACAGAAGCTACTTCTGATTGGATGCAATCACTGTTTGGCCAACAAATTTCTGGCCGGCTCCTTCAATTTTTTTCTACTGAAGGAATATCTACCAGGAAGGGGCCACAAAGTGAAATCTGCATACTGCCAACTTAAGAGTACCAACAAGGAGGCTTGACACTCACAAGATATCTGAAATCTTCCAACAATTATGTAGCTCACTTTCCACAGTTAAAATATAATTTTACAAAACCCAATACAGGATGATCTATACCAATTTCCACAACAAAGTACAAAAAAAAAAAAAAAAAATAAAAATCCATATACTGTATAATTTTCTACAAACCATCACCATTCCAATTTTAGACTCTGCTCAGAGAGGCAATACATTTTCCGGATCTGAAGGTGAACTTCTTTAATTACATAAAGAACATTAAAGTGATGCGGAGGTGAAATATTTCGCACTGAGATGCTTGACTCCATCCCAGCCCTGCAGGCCCAAACCTTCATTACTCAATGGGGAAATGGAAGACTCTGACCTTCTGCAAGTAAACGCGAATTCATTCCCTGTAAATATGAAGAGTTTCGCAATGCAGACTCAATTATTCCAACTGTTAGAAAGAATAATTTGATTGGTGGGAGTGGGTAAAACTGACAGCCCAGCAACCAATCATAAGACATGTGGCATCTCCCAGAAATCGAAGGCCAGGAATATAGTTGCATGACCTCGAGCAGACTGCTGAAGTGCTGGGAGCTGCTATCATCTCATTTGACAT